GCCTAAATGAAAGCAAATCTACAGAAGCTTAGAATGGCTCATGATCAAACATAATAGACATTCGTTGTCTGTTATATTTAACAATATATGTTTGAATAATGATCTGCTTCTTCAATATATATATATATATATATATATATATATATATATATATATATATATATATATATTTTCCTTTAGGTTTATTTCAAATACAAAATTAAAAAAAGAAGTCCCATATAAAATATGGACTCCTTCATCATTACGATAGCCTAATATATTTAACGAAATTTAAATTGTGTAACAATCAGTCTCAATTTAGTACCTGAATATTGCGTTGTGCAGGAAACTCTTAGTCGTGCTTACCTGTGAGTGATAATATGTATATTGATTAATTTATTTAGTATATTTGTAGTTCTGTTACATTGCATCGAGCATTATTTTATTAACATCACCACTCAATGTGCGATAATATATATATATATATATATATATATATATATATAGATAGATAGATAGATAGATAGATAGATTGATAGATAGATAAGCAATGTGATGTACCAATATTGTAACGTATCAATACTGGATAGTGATTGTCAACATGCTAAAACGCAAACATTAGGCCATTTTGTTGGAAGAGCAACTCGACTATTTATAAATGTTTTCACTGAGGGATTAGGAGAAGGGTGCACATTTATTTACGGGTTATCATTCCTTTCTAACGGCTATTGATTAAGAATCATTTTAGGTATTAGATTGCTCCCTGCCTATTGTATTTTCGTGATGGTTATTGGATAGAATTATTTATTAATTATCTTGGTCATAAAGGGATTGTTCATATGTTTAAGGTTTATATTTAAGACATTCGGTGAATGGTCATATGTTTAGGATTTGAATTTTAGTCACTTATTAATTGCTTTTTACTTTAGGTTGTCCCAAAAATTCGTACACACTTGCAAAAAATTGAAAGTTTACTCGCCAAGTAATAACAAAAACAACAAAAACTATTCCTCAAAATAAAGACCATCATTTTCCAAGACTTTCTGCCATCGATCTGCAAGCTTTCGGATCTGGTGAAAGTACCATTGAGCCAGCTTCGAATCAAAGAATTCTTGACACGCTCCCTGACTTCATCAAACGAGTCGAATCTGATGGAGCACAGTCAGGACTGTAGGCTGGATGTGGCAGAACCTCAACGCCGTCCAGTTATTCAAACTTGTCTTTGGTCTTCCTGGCGGTGTGTGGCTTTGGTATTGTCCTGCTGCATCAAAGCGCGCTTTCGGTTGATCAGAGCCGGGTACTTTTGCTTCAACTTTTCGTAGACCCGCTCCAGTTGCTGACAGTAATGTTCGGCACTGATGGCACGACCATTCGGAACCAACTCAAAATGCACGATTCCTTCAAAGTTCCACCAAACGCACAACATGACTTTCTTGCCGAATCGATTTTGTTTTGGAACCGACGGTGTCTCTTGCCCTTTCTGAACCCATTGCTTGTCTCCATTGTGCTGGATTGTGTTGCATAAAAATTCAATTTTTCGCAAGTGTTTACGAACTTTTCGGACAACCTAATAATATGTATTATTAATTATTATATATATATAAATAATATATTTATTGATATTTAATCTTCATTTCAGACGCATAGAGATTGCCACGTGCTGTAGGAAAACTAGGAAGGGAAATAGGTTTACAGTTATTGAGTGATAAGATGACATCAGTGGAAACTGTAAAAAAATGAACAGAGGTTGTTGAATAAAGAGATTAGAGCGTGAAGACTTTGCCAAGATAAGAACAAAGGAAACCAACTTTAAGAATGCCATCCAAAATATTGAAAAAAATTAAGAATAACAATTCCTTGAAGAAGTTGTTGTTGTGAATGGAGACAGATATGTAAGAGATAATATTAAGAATATGGCTAACAGCATAAAAGCAACCAACTACCACATTTAAGTAAAAACTGGAAAGAGGTACATGTATGCGAAACGAAGAAGTACATGAGAACTGATTTCTCAGCAGTATTTGTCAGTGATAAAGATACAGCTTCCTTGGATGGACCTGATATTTGCAATCGTTCTCCATAGAACCAGTCAACGAATGCAACAATTGTGCGAAGGTGTGGAGTAATAATTTGGTCTAGAATTTAATCCATAAAAATTATTCCCTTATATTTTGATTATGTTATTAGCTTAAATTCAGAGAACGATTTTAAGATCTTGAAAATTCTCTTATTTTATAATGGTAGAGCTCACAACGAAAGAAGCTTTAAAGTAGATTATATTCATTAAAGAGAATGCACCTTTATATTATGTAAAACTAGCTATTGCCCGCAATGCGAAAAAAGTCACAAAGACAGGAAATTAACAGAATAGCATTTTAGATATTAATCCAATAAAAATGTTTGGCCCATTATTCTCAGTAAATGAGAATGGTTAAAATGTTTGGTCTATCGTTCTCATTATATGAGAATGGAAAACAATATTGAAGCAAAGAAAACCCAAGGGAAGTAATAAAACGCGTTTTGTTGAAAGAATAAAAGAGTAAAAAAACAAAAAAAACCAAATCATTTTAAGTAATAAAAGTCGGAGGAAGTTCATAGAATGCCACTGAAACCATACTAACATATAAAATGATAAAAAATATCTTTTACTCAGACATTTCAGATATTGTGCTAATATAGTGACACATATAACTATTTTTTTACAAAAATTTGTTTAAGAAAAAACAATTCGAATGTAACTACAGATGTGAAAAATGAGTATTAGTATATTAGAAAATATTAGTATTAAATATCTAATCAGAAATATGTATTTTTTTATGCATAAAATTATTGGTAAATTTAACAAAAAAAGGTACAACGTAAAATTGATTCATCTCAATAAACTGCACCGACTATTACTATGTCCTTTATGTGTTATAATAGATGTCAGAATAATTTAAAATAAATAATCTTTTAGGATTGTAGCCGCAATAAAAAATAAATATCTCTTAAACAAAAAGCCATTATAATGTTTATGTCCAATACTTTCAAGTGTGATTATAGGTTATATGATTTCAATCTACAAAGATTTGTTTGCACATTGTATAAATATCTGACAACTACAAAATAAGTTATTTTTTAATAAGAATATTTAAGTTAAAAGTGACAAGATGTATTTATCACAGAAAATATCCCGAAAATTAACCCAAACCCCTTTCGTTAATACATATTTCATTCCATAAACTTGTATCATAATATTTGGGGTAGTCTTGGAAATGTTTCCTGAAAATATTCCTATGAAAACAAAATTTGACATATTGAGTCGGGACAGGAATTCGTAGCGTTTTTAAGTTAGTCAATAACAATATTAAATCAAAGAGCAGATTTACCGCATAGATTCAAGTGTAGTTTTTATTATTAGTTTTTTTTTTATGCCAAAAATATGAGGTCGGCAGGTAACTTTTCTGAAGAGGTTAAAAAACATGCATTTTGGATGACTGGTTGCACTATACACAGGTTATTTTTTTTCTGGAAGGGTTAAAATTCACCCAAAAATGATCAGGGGTCGCATTATACATGAAATCGACTTATACACGAGTATATACGGTAGATATTTGTACATAGTTTTATTTAACCCCTGCCTGTTTCATTTTGTTCTTTTTTCATCGCTAAGGCAGCTTCATGATTCCATTCGCTCAGAATTTGACATCTTTCTGTTCGAGGAACTGGTCTAAGTGGTTATTATAAGCTTCCGAAAAATTGGCGTTCTTTAGAGAATTTTGAAGAGATCAAAATAAGTTGTAATTTGATGATTCAAGGTCATAGGGTGTACAGCGGATGTAGTAGAACATCACAACCAAGTTGTATCAATTTCTGTCGGCTCTGTAAGCCATGAAGTTTAGCGTCTACCGGATGGAAGCTGATACCCTTCTGATTGGTCAGTTCCGAAGGCGTTTCATTTATTTATTTTTTTGCCTTTAATCGGGCCTATTGGGAACAATCAACCTTGACCACATATTGAAAACATCACTCGTCAAACATCAACATCTAAGTTTTACTTTATCACCAACACTCCTATGTCGATATCCTGGAATAAAGATGATAGATATTGACTATTCAGATGGCCTAGCTATCATTGCAGACATAATTATCAATGCCACAGTTCTCCTACATCATTTAAAAAATGCTGCTAACGATGTTGGACTCTAACGATGTCAATGATTCTAAAAATGAATTCATAAGTTTCAATCAGAAAGGCTTAATACAGACTCAGAAGAATCAATAAAATCTATCAGTCATTTACATATCTATGACACGAAATAATTTCTACTGTAAATTATATGAAAATTTGCAGAGTTAAAGCTTGGACCGCCTTAAATAAAATGGATGCAATCTGGAAATCTAATCTACTAGACAACCACAAACGAAGATTCTTTCGCGTCACAGTAGAGGCGGTTTTATTGTATGTTGGCAATTGGGCATTAATTAAACCCTTGAGTTTAAGCTTGATAAAACCTACACTCGGATGCTGAGAACTATAAATAACATTACCTGCAGACAACATTCATGTAAATAACAGCTCTATTAACCCATCCCTGATCTTTCTATAAGCTTAGAAATATCCTGCAAGACGCATTCTGCGTTTTGCAGGACATTGCTGTCGGATAAAACAAGAACTTGCAAGTGATCTACTGCTCTAAACACCTCGCCATTTTCTTTGGGTGCAGATCGTTTATTTAACCCCAAGATGGTCGGGTGGGAAAGAAATGGATTCAATGGAAAAAAAATGGACGCAACAGACTTCTTCTTAAGAAAAAAGGCATTCTTCGACTTCTTCTTCTTCTTGCAATTTGTCTGATAAAGAAATGGATTTAAAGACAAAAAAATTAAACTCTTAAAAAAAAAAAAAAAAAGGGATTTTCTTCTTCTTCTTCTTCTTCTTCTTGTTTCTTCTTGGAATCAAAAAAAAAATAAATTCAATTAAAAAACAGGATTATCGACGCAAAGAACTTCTTCTTCTTCTTCTTTTGTTTCTTCTTCAGTGGATTCAAAAGACAAAAAATTCTTTTCTTCTTCTTCTTCTTATTCACAGCGGGTGGAAAAAAATGGATTCAATGGTTTGATAGACTTCTTCTTCTTCTTTTCTTCTTCTTCTTCTTCTTCTTCTTTCTTTTCTTCTTCTTCAAAGACAAAAAAATTAAACTTCTTTAAAAATAAAAAAAAGGATTTCCACAAAACCTTCTTCTTCTTCTTCAAGTTGTTTGATAAAGAAATGGATTCAATGGTTAAAATTGAAAACTCTTTAACTTCTTCTTTTTCTTCTTCTTCAGAAACAAGAAAAAAAATCTTCTTCTTCTTCTTTTGGCGGGTGGAAAAAATGGAATCAAAGACAAAAAATTCTTCTTCTTTAAAAAATGGATTATCGACAAAAGAAAAAAATATGCCACAATTTGTTTTCTAAAGAATGGATTCAAAGACAAAAAATTTCTTCTTCTTTCTTCTTCTTCTTCTTCTTATCGAAAGAAAGAAAAATATGCTACAATTTGTTTGATAAAGAAATGGATTCAAAGACAAAAATTAAAAACTTTAAAAATAAAAAAAGGATTATCGAGAGAAACAAGAAAAATATCTACAATTTGTTTGATAAAGAAATGGATTAAGAGACAAAAAAATTAAACTCTTTAAAAAATAAAAAGGGATTATCCACAGAACCAAGGAAAAATGCTACAATTTGTTTGAAAAGAAATGGATTCAAAGGTTCATTAAAAAAAGGGATTACGACAGAAACAAGAAAATATTCTTCAATTTGTTTGATGGAAAAAAATGGATTCAAAGACAAAAATTAAACTTCTTTAAAAATAAAAAAAAGATTCTCGACAGAAAAAAAGAAAAATATGATACAATTCGTTTGATAAAAAATGGATTCAAAGACGAAAATTCAAACTCTTTAAAAAAAAAAAAGGATTATTCTTCAGAACCAAGGAAAAAATGCTAAAATTTGTTTGATAAAAAATGGATTCAAAGACAAAACGCAAAACTCTTTAAAAATATTGATTATCCACAGAAAGAAGAAAAATATGGCACAATTTGTTTAATCAAAGAAATGGATTCAAAGACAAGCGATCAAACTCTTTAAAAATAAAATATCATTATCGACAGAAATAAAAAAAAGATGCTACCATTTGTCTGATAAAGAAATGGAATCAAAGACAAAAAAAATAAACTTTAAAAAAAAAAAAAAGGATTATCGACAGAACCAAGAAAAAAAAGATACAATTTGTTTGATAAAGAAATGGATTCAAAGACAAAAAATCAAAATATTTAAAAATAATAATAAAAATTGATTATCCACAGAAACTTCTTCTTCTTCTTCTTCTTCTTCTTCTTCTTGTGGATAAAGAAATGGATTCAAAGAAAAAAATTAAACTCTTGTAAAAAAATGGATTATCGACAGAAAGAAGAAAAATATTCGACTTTTTTTTGATAAAGAAATGGATTGAAAGACAAAAAATTAAACCCTTTTAAAAAAGAAGGGATTATCGACAGAAAGAAAAAAAATGGATACAATTTGTTTGATAAAGCAGTGGATTCAAAGACAAAAAATTAAATTTTTAAAAATGATTCAAAAAAGGGATTATCCACAGAACCAACGAAAAATGCTACAATTTGTTTGATAAAGAAATGAATTCAAAGACAAAAATTAAACTCTTTAAAAATAAGAAAAAATAGATTATGAAAGAAAAATATTCTACAATTTCTTTTTAAAAAATGGATTCAAAGACAAAAATTAAACTGATTAAAAATTAAAAAAAATTTATAGACAGAAACAAAAAAATATGATACAATTTGTTTAATAAAAAAATGGATTCAAAAGACAAAAATTAAACTTTTTCTTCTTCTTCTTCTTCTTCTCGACAAGGGGAAAGAAGAAAAAATGATACAATTCGTTTGATAAAAAATGGATTAAAAAGACAAAAATTAAACTCTTTAAAAATAAAAAAGGGATTATCCACAGAACCAAGGAAAAATGCTAAAATTTGTTTGAAAAGAAATGGATTCAAAGACAAAAAATTAAACTCTTTTTTCTTCTTCTTCTTCTTCTTCTTATGGACAGAACCAAAAAATTATGTTACAATTCGTTTGATAAAGAAATGGATTCAAAGTTAAAAAAAATTAAACTCTTGTAAAAAAATGGATTATCGACAGAAACAAGAAAAATATTCTTCAATTTGTTTGATAAAGAAATAGATTCAAAGAAAAAAAATTAAACTCTTTAAAAATAAATAAAATTGATTATCGAGAGAAACAAGAAAATATGCTACAATATGTTTGATAAAGAAATGGATTCAAAAAAAATGGATTAAAAGACAAAAATTAAACTCTTTAAAATAAAAAAGAAGGATAATCGAAAAAAAAAGAAAAAAAATATCTTCAATTTGTTTGATAAAGAAATGGATTCAAAGACAAAATTAAAAACCTTAAAAATAAAAAAAAAAGGATTATCGAGGAAACAAGAAAAATATGATACAATTCGTTTGAAAAAAAAAATTGATTCAAAGACAAAAAATTAAACTTTTAAAATAAAAAAGAAGGATTATCGAAAGAAAGAAAAAAATGCTTCAATTTGTTTGATAAAGAAATGGATTCAAAGACAAAAATTAAACTCTTCTTCTTCTTATTTCCACAGAAACAAGAAAAATATTCTTCAATTTGTTTGATAAAGAAATGGATTCAAAGACAAAAATTAAACTCATTAAAAAAGGGATTATCGACAGAAACAAGAAAAATATTCTACAATTTGTTTGGAAAAAAATGGATTCAAAGACAAAAATTAAACTCTTTTCTTCTTTTTGATTATCCACAGAAACAAGAAAAATATCTTCTTCAATTTGTTTGATAAAGAAATGGATTCAAAGACAAACGATCAAACTCTTTAAAAATAAAATATCATTATCGACAGAAATAAGAAAAAAGATGCTACCATTTGTCTGATAAAGAAATGGATTCAAAGACAAAAAATTAAACGCAAAAAATAAAAAAAGGGATTATCCTTCACTTCTTCTTTGCGGGTGGAAAAAAAAGATACAATAATAAAATTGATTATGCACAGAAACAAGAAAAAAAAGTTACAATTTGCTTGATAAAGAAATGGATTCAAAGACAAAAAATTAAACTCTTGTAAAAAATGGATTATCGACTTTTCTTCTTCTTCTTATTCGACAATTTGTTTGATAAAGAAATAGATTCAAAAGAAAAAAATTAAACTCTTTAAAAAAAATGGTTTCAACAGAAACAAGAAAAATATCTTCTACAATTTGTTTCTTAAAGAAATGGATTCAAAGACAAAAAATTAAACTTTTAAAAAATGGAAAAAAAGGGGTTATCGACAGAAACACGAAAAATATGCTACAATTTGTTTGATAAAGAAATGGATTCAAAGACAAAATATTAAAGACTTTGGCTTCTTCTTCTTCTTCTTCTTCTTCTTCTTAAAAAAAAATGGATTATCGACAGAAACAAGGAAACGCAATATGCTACAATTTGTTTGATAAAGAAATGAATTCAAAGACAAAAAATTAAACTCTTTAAAAAAAAAAAAAATTATTCTTCAAGAAAATATTCTACAATTTGTTTGATAAGGAAATAGATTCAAAAGAAAAAATTAAACTCTTTAAAAAAAAGGATTATCCACAGAAACAAGAAAAAATGTGCTTCAATTTCTTTTCTTCTTTCTTTCTTGAATTCAGAAACAAAAATTAAACTCTTTATAAATAAAAAAGGGATTATCCACAGAACCAAGTAAACAATGCTACAAGTTCTTTGATAAAAGAAATGTATTCAAAGACAAAAAATTAATCTCTTTAAAATAAAAATGGATTATCCACAGAACCAAGAAAAAAATGCCACAATTTGTTTGATAAAGAAATGGATTCAAACAAAAAAATTCTTTTTTTCAAAAAATTAAAAAATCTTCTTTATGTGAAAGGAAAAAAATGGCTACAATTTAATTGATAAAAGAAATGAATTCAAAGACAAAATTAAACTTCTTAAAAAAAAAAAAAATGGATTATTGACAGAATGAAGAAAAATATGTTTCAATTTGTTTGATAAAAGAAATGGATTCAAAGACAAAAATTAAACTGATTAAAAATAAAATGTTATCGACAGAAAGAAGAAAACTTATTCCACAATTTGTTTGATAAAGAAATGGATTCAAAGACAAAAAATTAAACTCTTTCAAGAAAAAAGTGATTATCGACAGAAACAAGAAAAATATGACTTCTGGCGGGTGGAAAAGAAATTTTTTGATAAAGAAACAGAATTCTTCTTCTTCTTCTTCTTTAAAAAATAAAAAAGGATTATCGACAGAAAGAAAAAAATTTGAACATAACAATTTGTTTGATAAAGAAATGTCTTCAAAGAGAAAAGATTAAACTCTTTAAAACAAAAATGGATTATCCAGAGAACCAAGAAAAATTTTCTTCTTCAATTTGTTTGATAAAGAAATGGATTCAAAGATAACAAATTAAACTCTTTAAAAATAAAAAAATTGATTATCGACAGAAACAAGAAAAATATAACAATTTGTTTGATAAAGTAATGTATTCAAAGACTTCTTCTTTAAAAATTGGAAAAAAAAAAAGGATTATCGACAGAAAGAAGAAAAATATGCTACAATTTGTTTAATAAAGAAATGAATTCAAAGACATAAAATTAAACTGATTCTAAAAAAAATGTTATCGACTTCTTCTTCTTCTTCTTCTTCAATTTGTTTGATAAAGAAATGTATTCAAAGACAAAAAATTAATCTCTTTAAAAAAAAATAGATTATCCACAGAAACTTCTTCTATATTCTTCAATTCGTTTGAGAAAGAAATGGATTCAAAGACAAAAAAATTAAACTCTTTAAAAAAAAAGGATTATTGACAGAAAGAAGGAAAATATTCTACAATTTGTTTGATAAAGAAATGGATTCAAAGACAAAAAAATTAATCTCTTTTCTTCTTTTCTTCTTCACATTTGTTTGAAAATCTTCTTCTTCAAAAATTCTTGCCTTTAAAAAAAATTTTGATAAAAAACTTCTTCTTCTTCTTTTCTTCTTCTTCTTCTTCTTAAACTTCTTTAAAAATGGAAAAAATGGATTCAATCGACAGAAAGAAAGAAAAATATTCTTCAATTTTTTTTCTTAAAGAAATGGATTCTTCTTCTTTTCTTCTTCTTTAAATGGATCAAAATGTTTCTTCTTCTTCTTTTTCTTCTTATTCTTCTTCAATTTCTTTGGCGGATGGAAAGACACAAAAATGGATTCAAAGACAAAAAATTAAACTTCTTCTTCTTTTCTTCTTCTTCTTCTTCTTCTTCTTCTTCTTCTTCTTCTGGCGGGTGGAAAAGAAATGGATTCAATGGTTACAAGTGAACGCAACAGACTTCTTCTTCTTCTTTTTCTTCTTCTTCTTCTTC